CTGATGCAATGGGAGGCAGTCGCATAGAAATTAGATTAGCAACAATTTCAGAGTGGCACCGGCTTTTTTTTTTTTCCCTCCTAAACATCCATGCAGATTTCACCCCAGAATTTAAATGCTATTATTTCACTGGGCTGTTTCTCTTCAGCAAGAAGTACCTTGCCATTGTCTCAAAGCTCACCAACCTCTACCGCAGCCAAGCATTACTGCCTAGGTCACAGCTGGTTTTGAATCCAGCTGCAGAGGCACAATGCTGACAGACCTGCAATTGGACAGCAAAGTTCAGCAATACAGAGTACTCGGTGAGTGACTGAAATGATGGAAGATACAAGATTTTTTTTTTTTAAATCACCTTTCCCAGTGATGCACTATGTTGTTCTGACGAACATTTACCAAAATAAAAGAGTTCATGCTGCCTAAATCCCAAACACTGCAGCTTTCTGGCTAGATGGTTCCTTCTCCCAGGGGCAGAGCTAGAGACTATAACGGAGTGTTAGGTTGATCGAGTTACTCCTGATGTTTCTGGCATTTACAGGCTTTAGGGTTATCAACATTCTGTTCATCATTTGGAGGATACATTGCATATTGTCAGCACCCCCTACTTTAATTTAAAGTCTTATGTTAGGCACATTAACAGCAGGGTGAAGTTTTACTTATTCTTTGGCTGTCACAGAATGAGAGTAGAGAGCACTTTGGAATTTTTAATGGATACTTTATATTGCACATGAGAGACTTAATGTCCCTCTGTTAAATATTTATTGCGCGCCTCTACAGGAAACGATGGAGAGATACCTCAATGGAACAGGGAGTAGAGAGTTTTTCTGAAAAGTATATACAGACAAAGGGAAGGCCAGAAAATAACCCCCCGAGTTGGTCCAAGCAACAGGCTCACAGGTAGATCTTGCCCCTTCGGAGTGCAGGAATAAGCTGTAACTAGAAAAGTATAATATGTGTATGTGAAATAATGTTGCATTATGAATCAAGGCATCTCATTTAACTTTTTTATTAAAGTTGCTTTGATATGGCACAAGAATACATCAAAGAACTGTTGCTTCTTCAGAAAAAAGCAGAATAAAAAAAACATCACACAAGATGTAAAGTTAAAACCAGTATAGGCGAGATGTGCACTTCTCTTTGTCTAAGAACTGACTAGCATCCTAAGAAGCTTCTTCCTTCTTCAGCACCTGGGGCAGAAGGCAGCAGCAGCTTTTCCCTTGCAACCACAGGGACTGAGCAGCGGTCCGAGCTCCTGGCACCATCCACGTCTTGCAGAACATCTTCAGCTGCCCTGGCACAGGGGGAACCAGCTGCTAGAGAGGCTCCCGTCCACACCATAACCGCTGCCAGGGCCACGTACTCAAAAGCATCCCCCTCCTGCACTGACACTGGAAGGAGTTCAGAAGATGCCCTTGTCCTTTTTTATCCAGACATACAGCAAACCCCACGCTCTTCAGAGGTGTCACAGGCCCATTAGTTAGCAAAACGGAAGAAATCGGGATGAGGACAGGAACCCACCGTCCCACTCCTACTCTACATTACGAATAGTGAGATGTTACTTCTCTCACAATTTGTAAACAGCATTTCAGCTTCTTTCAGAACTACTTCTCCTTTCATGAAAAGGCATCAATCTCCTAGCACAGCTCCCTGTCAGCATAAAAACCCTAGTAGTTTGATTTCTTTTTCTTCAAGATGAATACACCAATAATTAGAAGCACAACACAGCAAACCAGCTTTTTTTTCTGAATGTTATTTTCTTTATAAGAGTCCATGGAGAAAGAAAAAGGTCTCATTTGAAAAGACAATGAGGGAATTAGGCAGAGGTGCAATACTGCTGCTTATGATGATGGCCTTTCCACTTCTGCACCATTTGAGTATGAAGAAAAAAATAGTTGCTAGAAGCAGAGGGCAGTTATACTTTGTAATGAGTATGCTAAAATAGAGCACTATTATTGTCTTGAGATCTTCTCTGACGCCTACAGATGACCCTTGAAGTATACCGAGTAGCTGACAGAATTTGGCTGCAGTACCTTAAATACAAGCACTGCAAACTTGAGCTTTCTCATGTTGCTGCAGCTTTGTTTGAGGCCTTGACTTTACAAAGCCTTGAGTTCACAAAAAAGCCAGGACACGAGATATGTATCTTTTCCGGTGACTTCTCCTCAAGCACCTGCACCTCAACGTGCTCCACACAATCCATGTGATTACAGAGCCCCAAGGCTTTGCATCTTCTGTGGAGGGAGAGTGCGCAATCACTGGGTGGCAGAGCAGACAGGAGGAACAGTTTAGGAAGTGGCGTATGATAATCTCTCCCGTGGCCAGCAGCTATACTTACTATTGCAAAACAAACTCAAGGGTTCACCCCTTTATGCTCCAAAAGCAGGGGGACACCCCGCTACGCCCCAGCAAGGCAGCAGCCAGCCTGGCCTTGAGAAGCTGGCAGAGGCAGGACTGGGGAGGAGGGTCTGCCCTAACCCCCGTCTTCAAGGTCTTCTGGCAGACTTCCCGTGCTTTGACTCAACACCGAGAACAGCTCAAGGAATCTTTCACCTCAATTTGTTCCAAAAGCCTCTTAATAAGCATCTGCAGCCTAATGACTTCTGCAGATGGACTGAATAAAGCAGTCAGGTCTACAGCCTTGTCAGAACCCAAAAATAAAGGAAAGAAAGGATGTCGCACAGATGTTGCACAGTGAGGACAAAACCATCACTACCATGTATTTAAATGGCAGGATTCCAGCTGTCCGGGTATTTACACAGAAAATGACTTTGGAAATTTACTCAAAAAATGACTCTGGAGGCAGCACAGAGGGGTGAAAGAGAAACCTCTTTTCAGATCACAAATGCTTAGTTACAAAACAAAACAACAACCACCACCACCACTACCATACAAAAAACATTCCAGGAAAGCCAGACTTGCTGTGCATACACCACCTGAGCACTATGCACATGCACAAAGCTGAACTGCTGAGACTTTACTGTGCAAAACTATTCCCATGGTTTCTTAATAGTTTAAGATGGACATGGTGTGTGCACAGAAGGAATTTGTGGACAATAACTCCTGCTACATTGTGCAATATTCGTGTGGACACAAGGCCTTGACAGTCATTCCAGGGAAATAAACAACGAAATAACTTTGGTTGTAGGAGATTTTTGGAGGTCCCGGGCCCAACTCCTTGTTCAAAACAGGGTTAACTTCAAAGACAAATCAGGTTTTTTAGTGTCTTTATCCAGGCAACTAAATAAACAAATGGATGCCCTACTCTTTTTATTTTAGTAAGGGGACAAAGGTGTAACATTGCTGATGAAGCATCTAATTAAGTGGTTATCAACACACAACCAGGCAACAGTTTCATTAGCACAGCACATAAAACACCCCACTGCTAATAAGCCTTTCATAAAATATATTCAAGCTCCTGGGACTGCAATTCACCTGAACTAGCACTTTTAGGATTTTATCAGTTTTGATTCATTTTTAGAAAGAGTCTGCTACCTCACATGTACAAAACCCACCGCCCAAAGCCCAGCCTCTTCAGGGTGCTAGTATCTAGCTACTGATGCACTCTGGCGTAGTGGGAAGCACGTAAGGGTATTTTAGCCCTTTTCCAGAACACACAGAACACTGTAAAAATACTTCAACTGCTGTCACACTTGTTCCGTCAGCTTATTTCCCAAAGGCAGGTGAATTATCAGTTAAAAGCCTGTTATATGTGCAAAACAAAGTTACTATTTACAAGGAATTAAACTAGAGATGCAGACTTCTACATCTGCAATACCATTGTTACATTCCAAACCCTGACAGCTTTCCCAGTGGTAATCAAATCATACCTTCTCTAAATACTAAAATCAGGCAAGAATAAGAAAAAAAACACCCTAGACTCCAATAAATTCTTGTCTTCCCCTTGGCTCTGGCATTCACTGCACCGTTGTTTCCAAACAAGTCAGGAAAATCAGCTTGTTCTGAAGGAGAAATCATGGTTATCCAAGGAGCTTCCTGCCTTGAAGGAAATGCTGGAGGATATCCTCATGATAAGAACTGCTCCAGAGTTTTCACTGCCTAATTCCACTCCAAGTTTGACAGTTTTATTTACTTAAAACAAACATCGCGACAGATTTTGGGTTCTTGGCTCAGAAATTAAGTCACTCTACATAAAATTAAGCGATTAGCAAATATTTTAGGTTTTAGGAGAAAATTGTTTCTACTTTAACTCCTATTTGATAAATTAGCATTTCCTTTTCTTAGTGTTTTCTAGTCTTGTCCACCTTTTGTATTAGCCAACAAGCCATGAAGGAGAACAGTGGCATCAGGATTCTCACTAAACTTATGGATGAAGACTCAAGTTGGTAGAAGTAGATGAGCCAAACAGCTTTTCGGGTTTTTTGAATCTTGATAAAGACAACAGTGCCCGCTTTGCTATCTAATACGGTTTTGACCAGCACACGCTGACACTTAAAAACATTTAATCTGTTTGAACACAGCCAATAATGGAACTTCAAAGCAGTCCATGTACTTCCTCCAGCTGCTACAAACATTCTGATCCTCCATCCCTGGCTAAAGATGACTGACAGGCCAGCCTAGCTGGTTTTATGGACAGCAGAGCTCATTTCCCTGCTTTTCTGTACTTTGAGGAAAAGTCTCTCTTCTCTACCTCTCCCTTTTACAGGATTTGAGACCGAAGAGAACATGGGAAGGTTTGGAACAAAGAGAGAGAATAAAATGCCTTTGCTCAGTTACTTGGTTGGTTTCTGACACTGATGTGATTGTTTCTGAGTAAGCCATAAAAATACTTATTTCCATGGAAGCTCCTCTCCAAGTAGATTTCACTTGCTTCCTCCTTATTTGCCACAATGGGCTAAGTGGAGTGTTTACCAACAGCAGATTAAAACAGCTTCAATAGGCACAATGCATCTGCTGAAAGTAAAAGCATCCTTGTTTAAGAGTAAGGGGTCAGGTCTCTGCATCACGCAATGGAGTAAACCCCAAACAAAAGGTTAAATGTTTTATGTTGATCCTAGCTTTATTATGAAAAGGAAGTCACATTTAAGATGGAAAAGGTTTCCTTTAATAATGTTTATAATACACTCAGCCTGGTTGCTATGACGATGGAACAACTATTCTCTACAAACAGGCGCTAAGACCCTAAAAATAAACAGGCCGACAAAAATCACGAACACACAGCTTTGTCAGGCAGGCTGTGCCTGGTGCAGGGATCGTGTTTGCTCTGAATATGATGAAGATAAAGAAATGCTAATGACTAGATCCTGCACCCACTGAGCAGAGCACTTGCCTACAAAGCGATTCCTGTATTTCTCAGGAGCTGCTGCTGAAAAACGACACCACCAAAGCCAGAACTCTGGATTCCCCCCCCACACACACACAGCGGGGCAGGCAGCAGCACAACGGGGACTATCAGAAGTCAGTCTGTGAAAATAAGGTAAGTATTGTGAAAGTAACGCAGGGGTACAGGTATATATGCGTGTGTATGCACACAAAATAATAAAAGTGTAACAGCGTGTATTTGCATACTTTCTCCACGGACTCACTTATTGATGTGGGTAGGCATCCACCCATTTCAAAAAGAGAGATGAGTACTGAAGTACTAAAAAAAAAAAGAAAAAAAAGCAGAGTCGGGAAAAAAAAGAAAAAAAAAACCAAACCCCCAGTCCCTGGATCCCAGTGCGTGTCTCACATCAGCAAAGGCGGGTCAGTCCCGATCGGCGACGCTCCGAGCACGGCTCGCCTGCTCGAACCCCAAATCACGCCACGAACACGCATGCAGAGGGCGCGGGGGGCCCCGGGGAAGGCTTCTCCCCCCTCCGGCCCTGCGTGAGCGGCGTCTCCCGTGGGGGGGGGGGGGGGGACACGACGGGGACCGGCCGGGGCCGCCCCGCAGATCAAAGTGCCGGGGCGGGCTGCCGCCCTTCAAAGCCGCCGCCGTCGCTTTCGTTTCTCGGCTTCCTGAAACACACGCAGACCGACACCCCCCCCCCCACGCACCCACGCGCCGGGGGGGGGGGGGGGGGGCCCATCTCTCAGCCGTGAGATGCCCCCAGCCCCCTCAGAGACACCCCCCCCCTCCCCTCCGGGCCCGTCCCCCCACGCGCAGGCCGGAGCCCGTTCGCTCCCCCCCCCCCCCGCCCCCACTCACCGAGGAGGAGCCCCGCCGGTCCCCGGGCGTCGCGGTCCCCTCGGGGCGGGCAGGTGCTGGGAGCGGCTCCCCCGCCGCCCTTCATGGCCGGGCACCCCCCCGGCGGGCCGGGCGCCGGGCCTCCATCCCGGGCGGGAGGAGCCGGGCGAGCAGCGAAGGGAAGCGGCGCTGGGGGGGGGGGGGGGGGGGCGGGGGGAGCCGGGGGGGGGGGGGAAGCGGCGGCGCGTTACATGGCGGGACGCGGAGCGCCCGTCCCTCCGCCGCGGAGCCTCCGCGGCCGCCGTACCCCACACTTCCGCCCAGGGCCCCGCCGGCGGGGGCGACGGCCAATCGCCGCGCCGAACGGCGTCGCCGCGGACCAATGGGGCGGCAGTGTCCGCCCACCGCTCGCAAAGCCCGCTGGGAAAGGTAGTCCGCGGGGGCCTAGCGCCCGCCCGGCCCCACTCGCGGCCATGTGCCCGCGGACCGGGCCGGCCGCCCGCGGCGTGGGCTGCGCCCGGCGGGGTGTGGGGGGCGTGTCTGTCTCGAGTGTCGCGCAGAACGCGGAAGCCCCCGCGGTCCCGTCCACGCAGGTCCCACTCCCGGGTGGGAGCGGGGCTGTGCCGCGGCGGGGTCCCGCAGCGAGATGCCGGCCACGTCAGGAGAGGGGAAGGTGCTCACGGTGGACCGAGCTGCAGGACACTGAAACGCTTTTCGAAATTAAATTTAAAAATAAATTTTAAAATTTATAAAACAGAAATCCTGCAAAGCCAGTGAGGCAAAGCTCCCAAAGACTGGGGACAGCCCGACACCATCGCTCCCCACTCCAGTGCCAACGTGCTCGGGCAAGCAGAGCTCCCTGCTTCGCACGTAAAAATATTTATTCCCGGGAGAAAGGCACCGCCGTGCGCCTGTCCCCTCCCTGGGGAACGCGGTGGCACCAGGACGCTTGGTTCCAGAAACCCACTTGGTTCCAGAAACCCACCTGGACGTCCTCCCCGCAGAAGGCCGGGGGGCTCAGCCAAGGCTCCGTGGATGTTCTCTGTCCCTGGATCTTCTCCATGGCTCAGCCGGCCCCGGGGTGCTGGTGGCAGAGGCACGCAGCCTCCGCGCTCCCCAGCCCGAGCAGAAGGCAGAGGCGACCCCGGGCTCGCTGCAGAAGCCTGCACACGCAGCAGGAGCCTTAATCACGCTGAAGCTCATTAAAACGGCCCGTGCACACACACAAGTCCCCAGGAAACGGCTCTGCCACGGTCAGGTTGCTTATTGCTAAGGTGCGCTGCCTTGGCCTACGAGATGAGCAGTCTCAGTTCTGAGGTATCTACCAAAAAAAAAAAAAAAAAAAAAAAGCACTCTTCATACCAGTTGGAGCGCTGGGTTATGTCCCATTGGATCAGGCATCGGGAGCAGAAGGTGAAGCGCCGAGCAGGCAGCGCTCTCCCACTTCCCTCCGATGAGCAAACAGCCCTCGCTGCCTCGCCATCAGATTCACGCCCATTGGCGGAGAAGAAGAAAAAAAATTTAAGCAGCACTTCACTGTCAAACACTACACATGCCAAAACACGCAGCTTTCGGTTTCCTAGACACATGCCGGTAAAAGGTTAGCCGCGTTAGTGCAAAGTCTTCTCTGCACATCGCACCCAACTGCTTTCTCACCAACTTGGGCCCTGCTCGATACAAGCCAAAGCACCGCACAGCCCGGTACATTTTTGTTGGACAAAACACACAAGTTGTATCTCGGAGCCTGGTTAAACCCAGCTGCAATTAATGCTGTTTCTATGAAGGCAAATTCTGTATCATTACCAAGTCATCTCCGTCAGCTGGTCCATTTTCATGGGGCAAATAACAATCAAATGAAGTGAAAGGAGGTTTGTAAACTCAGGAGCAAGATGGGGAACACAATGTTGCATCTCACAATACCTTTAAAGAACCTTTTGTCATCACTTACTGCACAGTCACAGGGTATCAGAAGGGAGATGAAAGCAGAGCAAGTAAAGAAATTTAGGGAATCGAGATGTCTTTTGACTATAGGGAAGAAGTACAGGCTTTTTCCCCAAAGCATGCTTTCTGTCATGGGGAGAGAGAAAGTTTTCAACCAAGCTGACCCTTATTGATTTACAGAAGTTAATTTTATTTTAAAATGTGGTAGTGAAGAGAATAATTTCTGGTTTTCCCACCTCCACTTTCAAAAAAAAAAAAAGCAAACCATGAGAGATATGAGAGACCAGGCAGGGATGGGAAGAAAAGAAAAAGGTAAGAAAAAAGGACAAGAAAATCCTCCACAAAAGTCCACAGTTTCTTCAGCTTTCAAAATAACTAAAGCCCCTTTGAAATGAAGGTGTGTGCTGTTTTTTTTATTTTTTCCCCCGTGGAAAGCATTGCCATTATTTCCACAGAGCACTTGACGTTATCAGTACTGCTTTTCCCTTGGGAATGCCCAAGCCAGGAATCACTGACCCAGGAACAAAGGTCTGGAGCTCGGGAGGCCCTTTTGCCACGGCACTGAGCAGGACCCTCCTCACCTCTACCTGATCCTCGGCAGTGCAGATGACTCAACTACAAGTAACACCCCACGGGTGAGCCAGACTTGCTAACAAACACCCCAAGCCTTTGGTCAAGCATTTCCCTGCACCCATCCCTCTTTTCTGCTGTGCTCCATCCTAACCTCTGGCTCTGTTTAGAGTCTGGACTCCTTTCTCCCACACAGAATAAAAAAAAAAAAAAAAAAAAAGAGGAAAATAAGGAAAAGCCGTGTGCTCTCTCAGACTCTTCCTGTAGAGTCGCACGTGGGAGGTTTGCCAACATCTGCATGTGTGTACCTCAAACAGAGCTAAATCCACTTCTTCGGGAAGGGATCAGCACCTGGGTTTGCACAACTCGCTCAGGGAGTGCTCCTGAAACCAGCTGGTTTCTCCGGGAGCTCCCGTAGCCTTTGCAGTGATGAACAACCTACGGGACTGGCGCGCACCATGCCGCTTCTTCGAGTATCTTCTCCTCACTTGGCACTGAGCATCACTTACGTGCAAAGTGGGAGAACGATACGGCTCCGAAAAGGAACATTTCACAAGATATGTGATCACACAAACCCGGTGTTTCAGCACACGTACCAGACTCAAGCGGGGTCTGAACATGTTTTGCAAGGCAAACAGCAGAGCTCCATTTCTGAGCGCACCACCACAACTCCAGATTCTTCCCTGGCTTTGTTTCTACTTGCCATCAGCAAAATCTACCAGCACACCCAAAAATTTCATATTTCCTTTGCACTCAGTTAGGAAACAATGCATGAGCTGAACCCAAAAAGACAGTGCAGGAAGAAGGACAGCACACGAAAATCAACTCCACTCCAGCCTAGCATCCAAAGGACCTAAAGGCCTTCAGCTACAGCCACATCAGCTGGGGTAACTCCAATAACAAACAATCAAAGCATCTTTTTTAGACAGATAATAAATTTCCTACTTTGTGCAACTCTCACTTTGTTCTGCTTCCCCTGCCGTGGGTTTGCAATCCAACGTGGGCTTGTTCCTATCTTAGACAACATCACAAGGGAAAAAATATAGGACAGATAAAGGGATGGAATAAAATCAAGCAAGCAACAAAGCAGGATTTGGAAAAAGCTCATACGCAAAGACCTTTTTAAAACGCAGCTCACATGCAAAAGCATTTTAAAGAGAAAGAGGCAGCAGAAAAAGGAAGTCAAACAAATACATTTCACTTGGGATTTCTGGTGAAGGTTAATCAGATGGCAGCACCTAGAAATAGATTTTGCAAGTTCTGAGGCAAGGACAAAGTCATGAAGTGATACGTAACTGCCAATTCTAGGAAATCACAGGACAACCTAGTCAGAAAAGCACAGACATTTCTAAAAGCACCGACTTCTCAAAAAAGAGAAATCTTACAGCAAGGTTCTAACTTTGCCATCACGCGGTCATGGATTGAGAGAATGATGGGAGGGAGCGGGGAAGCCAGAAAATTATGCAGCAGCTAATCAGACCCTAACGAGCCTCACTCCAGAACACAGAGGTGCTATTTTGATGCAGCTCCCAACTCTGAGACCAAGCTTCGCAACGCTGCTGGGAATCTCAAAGTCATGAAATAAACAGAACAGCTACGAGAGGTTTTGTGCCTCATTAGTGAGAGGAAACACTCACGAGGGAAAAGCCTTTGGATCAAGGAAGGGTTATTTGTTCGTTTTTAAAGTTTCACAATGAAAATCCACTTGTTGCTCTTTCAAGAGCGACGCTCTCAGGAAGCTTCACGTTCGGCGCCTTCCCGGATCACGACGGCTTCAGTTACCAACATTAGCACCTTCTACCACAGCTCCCAACGCATCCTTGGAGGTGAAAGGGAGGGGGAAGGCAAATCCCCTGCTCGCATTCGGAAGGGGCCTGCGAGAAGCCCACGTTGCTGGACACAAGCGGCGGGAGCAGCCCCAATCACGCAGGGATGCGCAGCAGGACGGGCCGGCTCCGGGGCTGCCAACCATCCCCTCACCCTACAGATGCTCTACCAAAAAGTGGGCACGAGTGCTAGTTTGCCTACGAGGCCTAGATGGTGCTAGTCATCAACCTGACAAGTTTACAGCAGGAAATCTGCTGTCACTTGGTTCAGAGCGGCTCCCCACCCGGCTCACAACCCACGGCAGAGCTTTGCAACCCAGGTAAACGCAACGCTCCTTGTAGAGATGCCAGCCCACCGTGCCAGGATGTGGCGGCACTTGCTCATGTGGGAAGTCATCACTTCACAGAGATCCCAAAGACGCTGCAGGATGCCCACGGAGTGTTACAAAGCACAGAGGGGCCCACAAATACCAGCTGCCTTTGCTGAAGCTAAAAGGAGCACCTTGAAGAA